TGGCCTACAGCGTTGTGGATAAGATCCGCTGGAAATCCTCGTTAGCTCAGATGGTTAATGGTTTTACGTTATTCGGCTTAAACTACGTAAATGCAGCATTGACAAACAAAGATCTTCAGTAAGAGTTTGGTTTTTGCGAATGCAGTTACCATATCGACGAACAATCATGTTAAAATTAGTTACTTTAGTGCTGACGATAATGATGTTGCGATATGAAAATGCCAAAGGTAAAATTTATCAATATTTAATAAGCGATCTAAAATAAATATTGTTACAATGTACAGCTTGTTGTTGATTGTTTTTCTTGTTAACTATACGACTCTATCGTAAAGCGTCAATTTGTAGGGAATTCCATGAAAAAAAATATGCGCAATTAAAAATGCATTTCAAACATAAAATTGTTGCTACGTTATAATTCACGTTAGTCGTATATTAGTTTAAATGACTTTAGAACCTTCTATTAGAACCTTCTTAATGCATTCTATGCGTTTAGTTATTATTATTATTATGTAATTATTATTATCTAAGAATGCATACGGCGCAATCACAGATAACGATGAACAACATATGCACCTACAGAACGGACAATGTGAATCATTCGTACACTCGACTAAAACCGAGAAATACGTTTTCATCGTTTAATTATTAGATGTGTTATCGATTATCTTATGATTTACCGTATATTTCTACGATTTCTATGATGTGTTCGACCATTCAATGGTTCGTGAATATACCATGACGAACACGTTATTCCTAATAATAATCAGCGCATCGTTGTTGAAAGATCTTAGAATTAGCTAAAGAGAGAGATAAGATAAAAACATAGGAATATTATTTACCATATTTTAAATTTGATTTAAAAGATTCTTGTTTGACCAACAAACCAAAGTTTCGACGTAATCCCTATGGAAAATGATATTTGAATCGCATTGTAATATAATTAATTTTCCAAACACGTCTCCATTTTACTCGACGCAACTTCCGAGCAAGGACCAAAGCCAGGAGGGTGCCGAAAGTGCGGAGCAGGAAAAGGCGAAGTCGATAGACAGTGATATCGTGGACGAGAAAGCAGGAGACATTGTAGAAAATACGAAAAAAGAGCAGACGGAAGGCGAGTCGACGACAACAAAAGACGACAGTCCGAACACGGTTACGCCCTCGACGTACATCGATGAAGAGACCGTACGATGAGACGAAGGTGAATGAAAAGAAAACGTTAACGTCGTCGAAAATCGATCGAATGCACGATATAGCGCATCTACGAATGAAAAGGAGTTGCAAAAACCACGAAAGAGAACAATAGAATCGTAGGGCCGGCTGAAAAACCCGAAATACTGGAAAATTCGAACGCAGTAGCGAACGAATTCGGTAAACCCCAAATCGATCAACCGGTGGAGGAGAGTCAGAAGCTCGGGAAATCCGAAAACGTCACCAATGAAAACATAGTGCAAACGATTGAGCAAGCTAACGAGAAAAAGCGATATTAAGATTCATGATAATTCTTAATTATCTGAGCGTCGTCCGTAAATAAAATTTTCGATCAATAACAATGGAACGTTCCGAATGCAAAACGACGAGGACGGTAATTTGCAATTAAGACGCGGAAGAATTTTTTACGATTAATTTTTACATCAACTATATTCTAAGCAAATTTGAATAAATGCGAAAGAACGCGTTAAGAGGATTCTACTTTCTTTTTCCATTAAGCGTTTGAAGTCTCGATAAGATTATTTTAATAATAAAAATATGCACAATATTTACGTAGACAACGAGTACATAGACTTCTTCGATAATGTTTTACATTTTTAGATCGCGGTTTTTTAAAACGTTTCAAATATACGACGAAACATCGTAAATATATTTGGTTGGTGGATAATAATTTCTACACTCAGAAGCAAATAATGTTTTCATATCAAGCGCGCGATTATGTATGTATTTCGCGAGTCGTAGTATTTCGAAAATTACATTGTTCCAAATTAACGATTATTTCTCGATAATCCCGTTTCTTTACGTGCGTACGAGTCATTGCGTGATTGTAACTCTATTCGTCGAAGAGTATTACGTGGGTGGACGCGCGATGAATACCAACGAGGATTTTAAGGTCGCTCATACTTATTGAAAAAGGGCGGAGAACAATCGCACGCAAGTCAGAACGTTTTCAGAGATGGCCAGGAGCATCTTTTACGTTGTGCCGTTGTGTTTTGTGTTGTTAGTGGCGTGGGCAGGTAAAAATACTTTCTCAGCCTAAAAATATGTATCGTGTGGTGCGTTCTTATCTTTAAACATTTTCATTTACATTTCATTCGTGTGTGTCTGCGATTCACTGTTTTTATGCAAATAGTTATTATCCCGCGATTATTTAAAAACTTAGATCATTAGTTTGATTAATATTGCAAGGAAACCGAAGGCTGGTAACATGTACTGAATTTAAAGTATTCTTATAGAATATAAAACACATCTAATATATTTTTTTTGTATTGAAAATCGACTAGAAAATGAAATATCGAGAGTAAAAAAAGCTAAGCCATATTTTTCTGAATTTTAATTCTTAGTGTTAATTTTTTATTTCATCAACCTTTATTAACTTATTCCAATGATTTATATCGATCGCTTAAAGGTGAGAGGATTCTTCCTTTTTTTTTTTTAATGGAATAAAATCAATCGTTGTACTAAATGTTTTGTGCTCGCATTAGTCTGAGACAGCTAAAATTACGTACTTGCTTTTGCTCTTAACGCTTCAAATTATTACGCGGTTCTTGGTTGCAATCTGCTGCTTGCGACGTTTCGTATAAGACGGGAGCCAACCACGTTAAATTATAAAAACGTTGCTATGGAAGATTTTCTTCCTTTAAACGTGTCATGGAGGGACGTGTCTCATTCCATAGATGATCGTGTCCTTCTCACAGAGGAAGACGAACGACGATGGAACACACCACCGGAGCTCATACCGGAGCAACTCATCAAGACATCCGATGTAAAAAGCGGACGATCGTTGTCTATTCCAATCACGACGAATATCAACGTAAACGCGGGAAACAATGCACATTCTTTGGGTTTTCAACTAGTCCCTGAAGGCGTTAGCTACTCTGAAAGCAACAGCTTCGATCATCCATTGTCGGCGGCCAGTGGGTACGTTCTCGCGATCAGTCACGTATCAGGGATAGTCTCTAAAACTAAACGATTCGTGTTAAAATATTAAATAACTGTCGAACTGTTCTGTAACACGTAACGATGAATTGATTAACTATCCACAAATCCAACGTTGCGCATTATTGGAAACCCTAAATAAAGTAATTTATACAGGGCCGGAGTGGTTGGTAACTGGTGTTACAAGCGGAAAGGGGGTGATTCTACGCGAAAAAAGAAATCGAAAATATGGAATAAAAATGTTTCGTTCGAGACTTTGTTTTCGAGAAAATCGAGTTTGAATTTTCGCTCGGTACGCGTGCACTTTATCGCGTCTCGTTATAACGGATCTAGATCGTTGTCTCGATTGATGATATTTAAAAAATTTTTTAAATTTTTAAATTTTTAAATTTTAAATTTTTAAATTTTTAAATTTTTAAATTTTTAAATTTTAAATTTTTAAATTTTTAAATTTTCAAATTTTAAATTTTTAAATTTTTAAATTTTTAAATTTTTATTCTATATTTTCGACTTCTTTTTTCGCGTAGAATCACCCCCTTTCCGTTTGTACCACCAGTTACCAACTACCCTGTATATCATTGTACATCTATTGTTCCATCAAGCTAAAAAGACATTCTACAGGATGTTATTAGGATAATAACAGATACATACTCTATAGAACACATTACACAAACTATAGATAATAAAATAAGTCATTTTATAATAAAAAAATAAATAATTTCTTCAAATCTTGTACAATATAGCTAAATTGTACAGAACGTAGATAGAGAAAAATTGTCATTGTTAAATACGAGTCGAATCATCGAACGAATTATCTAGCAATCCATTTCACAACACAATCCATATGATAATTTTACTGTAACGATGTATATATTTGTTGCCAGGGGCGTTTCACAAAGTCAGTCGGTGTCGTTCTCCGCAGGATTGACGGGAATCGCTGGTGCTGTATCCGAAGCTGCCAGTCAATATTATCCTATATATGGTAATGTAGGGAATGTCAACAGTCAAGTGTTTGGTTTCGACAGTGCAGCTGCTACTTCGTCGGGCAGTACCCAAAACGGACATGCAACTTCTTCTGCCGCATCTTCCGTTGGTTTCGCGCATTCTTCCGCCACGTCGAGCATAGGCGCTGTTCGTCCCTCTCAAGGAACGACTATTCGCTTTCCAGGACAAAACCAAAATCGACCAATGTGGAGTAACATTCGCCCTAACAATAATAAAAACAATGGTACGAACAATATCATTTCTAATATCTGTTATCTCATATAAAAACATTACATATTAGCGATGTTAATTGACCATCGTGCCGCAGATCGCATCGATACTATTAGTCATGTACAACTACGATAATATTCATCTCTCGGCGTAATGATTACATTTAAAAGTATAATATCATACGAATTATGTAGCAATGAAATGTAATTAATAGTCTTGCGTGTCTCGCACGAAGATTTTATTTGAAACACGTACTAAGCTTGTGAGTACAAACTCGATGCTTCGATCGTTGCGTTATTAATTAATTATTAAATGCCATATTTCGTTAGTAATAAGAAAGAAATTAGCGAAGAAAGCAGATAACGATCATCGAGCAATTAACCGTGATCTATTTTTTTAGGTCACCATCCTCCGCGTATGCCGAAATTAGACATCGAAGTAAAACCACATCGTGAAAATAATCGCGGTACGATTAAGTTACACGTTTCAACGCACGAGACAAAATGGGACGATAATCAACCAAAAATTCACATACACAAGTGGCAACCTAGTTCTAGAACACACGACGACGATGAACAAACATGAACATAAATATACAATTAGGTTTCACTTCAACGATTTTATTTATCTTTTAACTGTTTTTTTTTTTTAGTCAATTGTTGCGCCATTTTACCCGCACTTTTACTCCAATAATGGGGTAAACAAACATTTAAAATAATTTTTTGATTCAGAACTGTATATATCTATACATATTTATATAATTGTAACTATATTTATATAATTGTAAAAAAGTTAAAGCTTAAAAATAGACTACATATGTATGTATAATTCCGATTTCATCATTTCTTCATCATAGACTTTTTAAATATAGAAGACTTACAAAAGTTAAAATATATGTATATCTCAATGAAATCGAAGTTCTCCGGAGAAGTTTTCCTTAGATCACTAGTACTAGCAAAGATCAAGAAGTATCTATTTCGCTTACATGTCACATTCAATAAATTTAATTCCACGCTAACGGTAAGTAGGTGAAGGAGAACGACTGATTTCCAAGGTCAAATTATGATCTTGAATTCCGCGCGACATCTCTAGAATTACCGATGATTGTTGCTAAACTTTAGGATAATAAAATCACTGTTTTAACAGCGAAGATACTCGGCAATGTTATCGAAGTATGATAACTGCAACCAGAAGTGAATTTTCAGACCATTGACTAAGATCAAGATACAATGTTAAATGGACATTAAATGGAGCTTTGTGTCTTAGGTTATGAAATACCGACTTGCCAAAGAGTCAGAGCGTTTCTTACGCCCTCTGTATAGGAATTACTACAGACGACTCGTCGGTGACGTAATCACCGACGAGGTATGGAAGAGACGTGACATTTGTGACGTTCGTGTACCGACGTCTTGCTGTTTTACCGATATAATTACTCAGAACTTCTGTATCTATCGCTGCTCCGTATTTGACATCCAAAATATGCGAATGCGAGTTTTGTGTTGTCATCTCCGATATCAGTAGGGGTCACCACGTAAGCTAGCCTCTCCTCTACAGGGAAGACCAGAGTATAAAAGGACCCGTATCACTGGACGTCTCTATCTTTTCGTTACGAAATAAAATAACTTTCGTTACAAAGTAAAAGTTTAAAAGTGCGTAAGTAGATTACCGAACCTTCTTTCGAAAGATTTAAAATTTGCTTATAATTTATATTTTAATATAAACCTGATACTGTTGTTTAAATAATTAAATCCGCGTTAATTACATATTTAACAAGTTTTTCAGAATGCGATAATATTAAATTTTTTATAGTTTGTTACTCTTGACCGCCACTGTGTGTATACTTCGTTTACAATTATGATCTGCCCTCTAGTCTGCTTGTAATTTCGTGTTAAAATTTAGTTCTAATTTCAATCACTACGAACGCCGTAATCTTATCGTACGCTAAATCGGTAACATTGGAAATGACACTAAAATGATAAAGGAGTTCTAGAGACCCTCTAACCGTGGATGAAAAAATTACATTGGGTGATAGATTTATTTTGTCCGTCGTCTGCGCTAATACTAAATCGATAACGTCGAGCGCCAGACGAAATGGTAAATGGGGGAGGTCAACTGATCGATTTCCGATACGTGCGGCTCAAAAAAGCATCGAATGTTACGTTTATTCTCGTACCTCATCTGTGCATCGAGTAATCCGCGCAACGATATGGAAATTCTTCTTCGATGTTGTTACTACGGTTGGTAAGTTAGTTCTCTATCCTGATAACTCATACGGTAATTAGCTGTATGGTATCTCCGTTTCGTGGTGCCCTCTATAACGAAGTCCCGATTACTTCTTAAGCGTTACAGTCAAATTTGAAAGCCAAATATGTATTGTTATGAAAGAACAGCCGATATCGTCAGTGAAACAAATGACAGAAAGCTATGAATAGAGTGACAAATATGCATTTACGATGCAATTTTTAAGACAAAAAACAATTACAAATCTACATATCCCTATAAATATTAATTTTTTCATCGTTATCGTAAACCTTTTTCACCTATTTCATATACATTAATGTTTTCAATATATATCGAAATACGGCTGGAACGGGGGAAAACGATTCAAACGAGTTTCTAACCGGGGAAGACCCGACAGGTAGCGCTATCTGGGGGGATGCTGCGAAACTAGATGTCCACGAACGGAGCAATGGCGTAGGCGGCGATCCATGTGATAAATTAATTTTTATAGCTTCGTGGGTGGCGGCTCTTTCTATTGGTTGCTGATCGGGCGCCTCCCACTTCGAACGACGTTTCCTTCTCCTCGTTTATTCCATTCAACTGTAATACCATAATATACCATTTGTCTCGTTTCAAACGAGCTGGCAGGGAAATATCAAGGATGCGTGTAATTGAAATATACGTATTCGCAGATCTTCCTCGATCGATTCTCCACGAAGGAGTGGGCTCTGCAACGACGCGAGATTTTTATCGGGCGGATCACCGTTTTTAAAGAAGACTCGACGTAACTGCGCATTACACGTGATTGTTCGCGTTCGACGACGATAATTATCGCGATTACGTAAGGAGAGAAAGATCAATACGATTTTTACTTCGCCGCCGCACGACGTGCCGATTACTCGGCGAATCGCTCGGACTTTAATTACTATTGTTCGATCGCCGGACAATCTGTTTTTCCACGGATGCAATTATTTCGTGCTGAAGAAACGAGATAAACAAATCTTAACGACCGCTATCGTTTGTAGAATGACTGCACGATAGAGGTATCAAATGGATTGGATCGAGATTAGAATCGTATAACGTTATAAGGAAGATTAGTTTCCACGAATACCTACAACGTTATATCGAAAGTTTGAGATCGTTGTACGTTTCACAGAATGTAAGAAGTTAATGCCTAGAAAGATCAGCCTAAGTATACGGAATTCCTTATTAGCGTTAATTTCCAATATCGAAACTTTTGGCGAAGCGCGTCAGTTAGACAGTTACATCGGAGATACAACTGAGATTGTCATTTTCCTATTGCGTAGTATTATTCTTTTTACTCTATGGTATCGTTGCGCAACATTACCAACCTGGCATTAAAATCACCACGCATCTTTCTTGTACGAGCGTCCAAGTCTCCCTTCTCCATTTCGGGTTGCGCACATTCAAAGTTACGCTAGAACCTTTTCTAACTTTCATACAAGTAATCCTCGAACGATATGGCCAATTGTTTCTGCGTTATATAAAATATCGCTCGTTGGAAAAATGTGTACCACGTAATGTAACTTATCGTTCGAACAGTGCGTTCTTATTAAAAAGGAAAAGGAACAAGCAAAGGAAGAAAGATGAAAGATTTTCCTCGCATACGAAAGAATAAGAAAGAATAGAAAATAGATTTTTATTTCTTTTTATTAGACTAAATTTAAAGATAAAATACTACTTGATCAGAATGCTATATAAATTAACCTTCCTTCGAGAAAATTTAATCGTGATCGTATTTGTAAGTAACGATTTACACGTAGAATCGGAAAAATCATTTCAATCGACAAAATATCGCGTAGAAGGTGGCGCGACGGTACTTTCTTCGATTACGTTTACGAGGGGAATAGCTGTTATAGTTACGCAGAACGGCGCGCGTTTTATGGCGAGCACGCTTTTCCGCACGTGCTCCGTGCTCGAAGCACGGGGAAATCACGTCGTCGAACGAACGGCTCATTAAATATAGATGGTTATCTCTCGATACTTAGAGAAGCCCCGGGAAAAGGTAGTCCGGTTGGTTTATAGACCGTCGACTTTCCTATACAAACGAGATTAGCAAACGTTCTCGCCACGTGCAAAGTTTATAATTTTTAGCTTCAGTTACGTTTCGTACGTATTTTCTATATACTTCCTTTTCTTGTTTTACAAGCTTCGACTAATAATTACACGCATACTATGAGAGAGAATTCGCGTGGACGATGAGTGATTCGGAAGGAATATACGAACACCTACTTTTACACCTAGCTTTCTATATGAGATTAAGAATTAACTAAAACGCGTACAATTAGTAGTACTATTTGTTCCAATATTTCGGTTAAAAGTTTGTCGATCGATCGGTAATTTCCCTAATTTCTTCTCGTCTCTAAGACAAAAGCTAAACATCTCTAAAATCAAAAACACGAAAATTTCCAAATCTCCGTAGAATCTCCATTTCTTCCTCTGTGTAATAACATTTCGATTAAACCTTGTACCCTCGTCAGATCGGCGCGAAAAGCTACTAAACCAATCGGCGAAACTGCGCGCACGCATCTAACGCGAGCCTCCTCTCTAGCGCGTTGGAGATGGATTTTGCGTTGGAAGAGATCGACGAGTTCGCGAGATCAGAACCGGGAGGAGAAGCAGCAACGTTAACGGCAAACGATAGAAACAGACTGCGAAGATCAGCGAAGAAGCGTGGAAGGAAAAACGAGGAGCGGAAGAATTAGGAGAGCGGCGCAAAACACGACAAAGAGCAGAAAAAGACCGTAAGACGAGAAGGGAACAACTGCACAGAATCTGAATAGGCGGTAGAAGAAAAAATGAAAAAGGGTAAAGAACACGAGGAAGGATAAAAAGGGACGGAAAGAAGAGGAAGAAGAGACTGCGAAGATATATGGAAGCAGGCAAAGGAAGAGGAAGAAGAAGAAGAGAAGCAGGAGGATGGAGAAGGAGAAGGTACAGCCGTAAGGTGGGAGGAGAGAGAACGAGAGAAGGCCGCGGTAGTCTTTCTCGGTCGACTAGGTAAGATAAGGACGAGGCGGACAAACGGACTGACGAAGGTGGCCAAGGTAGGGGATATTCAGTCTCGCGGCCACGTGCTACACGAGCGCACGCCCCGAGCCGGCCGGTGGTCCAGCCACGACGTCCGTCCTCTTCTTCTTCGTCCCGTTTTGTCCCACGCTTCCTCCTTCTTCCCTCCTTCCATTCTTCTTTTCGTGCACCTCTCGACATCACCTCCGTGTGTTTCTCACTCTTCTCCGTCGTTTCCATCTTATTCTCCTATATCTTTTTCCTATCTTTTTTTCAATCGCCTCCTTTCGATCGACCTTTTTCCACGTTTCCGTTGTGGCGGCTGCCTCCGTCGCTTCCGAGTGTCTCGCTTCGAATTCCGAGTAGACGCCGCTCGAGGTGCGCCTCGCGGCACCGGCTAATCGCGGGAACGCTCGAGCTACGAGCGCCTCGTCCACCATCTTCGAGAGTTACAATTTCGTTCGTCCATTAGTCTTCGTTACTTCGCTCGGCAGATCGCAGAATTTATCGTTTGGAGGATTTATCGAGCCCACGAGAATTTTATTTAGTGATCGCGAGTGTGTATTCGATCCGGGATACCAAGTTTCATGGCAACCATAGGAATGGTTAACCAATCAAGAACAAAGCCTCGTGACAGCAGAATACTACACCAGTGAAACTCCCTCCACTCGTTGTCCCGTTAGCCGATGGTACGTGTAACGAGCTCGTCGAAAACACCGTGAACCAGAGCTTGTCGACGTATTCGCCAGCGATTAGAACGAAAAAAATACGTCGTCGAGTATACATAGCAGATCGATATCGGCTGATCCGTGGTGATTGTGATTGCTTTATGACACGCTGTGCGCCGGCAGAAACGTCTGACCGCGAAGGGAAGATTCTACTTGACGCGCCAATGGAATCTTGACGTGCGTAAATTTAAAAAAACATCAGAGTTTCTCCCCAGCTGTACGAATCAGTGAACTGTAAGAGTAGTGATGTCTTCTGTACGTTCAGCACGGTTTGTTTCTTCGAAATTAATCCTGAAATTCTTCATTTTCACCTATTTCATAGTGTTTCTTTATACCGTTCATACGCATCCACGGTCAGACAGTCGCTTTGCGTCAAATTGTTGGTACGATGACAAAGCGTTGTTCCACAGAGTTTGTTTTTTCGACAGATTTGATTCTACGAACAAGAGCAAGTTCCATCGTATTGGAAATTCGGTTTGCAAATTCGAACAATCCGAACACAGAGGAGATCGGTTAAATTTCAGGACAATAGGGTTTTTTACGCGTCCAACGAGGTTTGTTTCCTTAAGAATCGGTTCCACGATTCTTTGTCTTCGTCCATTTTCGACAAGATCTTGTTGCGTATCCTTTTATCGATAAGATAATTCTATCGCAACGACAGGAAGGCAACTTCAATAGTTAAATCGTATTCATTGGAAGAGAAGAAAGGTATAGACTTCGTAACGTGAAAAATTTCGGTGCGAAAATCTTTACCACGAATATTGACTTTTATTATCGCGATGACTTTTGCAGCAGTTCTTTATGCCGACTCGAATAACTTTACCATAGAGATGTTCGAATCGTTTTCTCGTCTTTGATATTCCCTCTTGCTGAACCTGAAGTGTACGATATTTTCTCATTCTATCGTTATAATATCAAAGACTAACGGTGACTTAAACGACCCTACCTTACTGTATCGACTCGAATATCGATCTGTGGGTCAGGAATCGTGGCGCGCGAGTTTAACGAGCCAGCTAGCCTCTGGCTAGTACGAAAAATCAATTCGGTCCTCTCTCTCTTTTTTTCTGTTTCTCTTGCTCGGTCGATTTGGCGGCGTCGACGATTAATTTGTCACGACGTCCGGGCATAACAATTTCAACTGTCTGCAGTCGGTACCATGATATCCGTGTGACGTGCCGCTCACAACCGGTTCATTAAAGTTGCAGCCGCTCGTCACTCATTGGCTGCCACGGGCTGGCAGTGATCGTGATGCTTGCGATAGAAAAAAAAAGAAAGAAAAAACGAAGACGAACGAAAAAGACGAAACGAAAAAAAGGAAGCGATAGAAAAAGATAAGAAACGCGATGGAGGAGTAGCAAAAAGAAGGACGAGGAGAGAAGAAAGAGACAGAGACCATGTATGGGTGATACTTTTGACGCGAGTGTTTCACCTTTCAATCATTATTATTACGAACACCGATGCCTCGAAGGATGGTCAGCCAGGGTGAAAAAAATTGACGCACAATTAGGATATTAATGATGCGTGACAGCCTGGGAAAGTCGAAAAAAACTGTGCGAGCCGTTCGTCTGTAGTGAACGCACGCCGTTTGTGTCGGACGAAAGTATTCTACTCGCGTTGGAAACGTATTCTACGTTTGGTGAACGCTTTTTCGATCTTGGTTAGGTGGTCTTTGCGTATTATACTTTTATATATGTATATATACAGGTATGTCTGTCTGTCGATCGTCTAGCTGTTTTTGGATGAGATCGTTCTTTTCTCGTTCGTAAGATATAGGCACGTTTCGTTTGTGGGATCGACGTTTGGTTTTTAAATCTTTCGAATTAGGTTTGTAGAATATCTCCTTGGTAGTCGTCGACATACCGAGATTTTAACAAACGATAACGATCCGATGCGAATCGATTATCGTCAAAATCGAGAATAATTTTTTAGAGAAAGTTGAGTCATATTCGTCAGGATCAACGTCGAATGTCCGTGACTTAAACTGGAATACGTAATACGATTCCAATAATTTGTTTCAAGTATACAGATCTGTCGAACTTTTACTAGGTCTGGTCGTTGTCAAAACCGCGAATAAATCCTACTATAAATTCTACCAGCTTCTTTAAAACATAAAATACATCAAACTTGAGAATCTATCGTTAGAAAAGTACGAATATTATTTGGCGAATATGTTTCAGGAACGTTTCGAGCGTTAATTTCTCTTTAAGTCGAATATATGTGATATAGTATGTAAAAATTCAAACTTTAACATTCGTCATAGTCGCTAAGAAGGTATCAAAATAATCTCAACTTTATATTTCTGCAAAAGAACTTGAAATCCGTGTTCTTTACGACAAACGTTCGGTGTCGGTGAGCTTGAGTAATCGGAATAGCTTCGCTGTCGACGGAGACCTGGTCGTTTTTAGTCCCTCTCGGACACGGATTGTGCGATGCTGCTAATCCAGCTTGCCAGGCGGTCTTCTAAAGAGTGACGCGATGTATTACGTTTGCATACACGCGGTAACGCTTGTGCGGGTAAAAGAGCGATTATTTCAAGGACTGCAAACTTGTTGCGCTCGTGGTAACGTTGCAAGAGCCTCTCTGTTCTTGCCCGATCCCGCGGGGAATCGTTCTCTGAAAAATATTCGTTGGCAAATCGTGCAACGTGGCTTGTGTTCGCTATTTTCTCACTTGCTTCTTGTCCCATCCTTTTATGATTCAATGGCTACGTACAATTCTGCGACAACGAGTTCTCAGTGGATGCCTCTTTCGTTAATTTGAATTACACGCTTGCTCGGATTACACGCGAATTTTCACGTTTGTTCACCGACGTATTAAAGTCACACGAACATTAATTAACTAAGGAATTCAGTTTGTTCGTTATAGAGAAGCCGTTATAGTCTTTTACAGTTTATGTTCTGTATATTATATTTTTAACGGATCGCGTTCGATGCGAAAAGTTTCTAGATATCGATAGATGTCGTTCGAGACGACACAGCGACGAGTATAAGTGAAATTAAATGCTTTAAAGTTAATTTCGCATTCTGTTATCTTCTGCTCCATCTCATTTTTATTGATCGATAACGATGAATTTTTGGGAAACTGAACGATTCTTAGCAAAGTATATGGATGAAGCTTTCCTTTCTCTTTCGCATATCTACCTTACCTATCGTTCTTCGTTTCAATTTCTTTTGGTACGAGTTTCTCACTTTAGTCGATATTACGTTGTCAAAACTTTAATTACGCTTCGAGTTTCAATACGATTTCAATACGCGTTCGAACGATCTTTAAAGATCGAACAAGCAAATGCACCATTGGTAATGAACTTTGTCCGTGAAGGATCGTCAATTTCGCGCAACAATTTAACGATCGGATCAATTATCGTGCGGAAGGGATCGGCTGATTACAAGCCATTTGCCAAAGCCGTTGAACGTTGCACGATGGAGTCTCGTCGTTAAATTGAAATAATATTACAATTTCCTTTCCGCGAAGCGCGTTTCACGATCGTGGAAATTCATTTCATCGCGTTATATTTCCCAGCAGTAAACGAGAACGGTTAAGGCCCGTAGAAACGTTGGATTTATAGGAGTCGAGCAGAGGCGACGATACGCACCATGTAAACCGGTCTTCCGCGCCGCGATACGACCACCTTAATTAATTTGTCATTATTTAAGGAAGACGTCTCGCGATAAAATGTACCGGCATCGCCGCGTCGCGGTCCCCGTCGTGTCTACCCGTTACTTCGTTCGATCGGTTCGATATCGTGCAGAGACTATTTTCCGAATCGGCTAGAAGGTGGATAGAAAGAGGCGAGAGAGAAAGAGAGAGAGAGAGAGAGAGAATGAAAACGGAACGTTTCTTCCCGGTCCATGCATCATTCGAATTTTCTTCGCGCTTTCTCGATCGAGTCGTGTCAATCGTCCATAGCTAGAAATCAATCTTCTAGCGGTTTCTTGGATATTTAATTTAAATTGTACGATGTTTCGGCGATGTAATGTATTTCTGCTATATATAGGAACAGGCTGTCTACAAGGAAATAAAGATCCCATTTATAGTTGAATCGTCGAATCCATGCCGTTTCCGGCTATGGATTTTAGTACGATGGAATATTTGAATTCAAATATTAAAAATCTTATTGTTTGTTAATGCGAGAGCAAGATTAAAACATAAAACGTTCAAAGACAATAATAACGCACTAATTTCAAACACCTAAAAGATACGCGTGACTCGTTTACCGTAACATCTCTTCTCGAAGCTAATCACGATCTTTCGATGCGAAAACGCGAAATTGCATACATGTGTAAATTCTTGCACATGTCGTGTTGATTTCTACTTAAATTTATGTATCTGATAATAGGGTTTTGACCAATAGTCATAATAATAGCCTTCCCGGTGTTTTACAATGAGATATAAAAATATTTGTTGTCGATGTTAACGAAGTATCACCATTGTCCGTAGAATATTTTTTTGACAAAAATACGTTTGCAAAGACTGTATTGGTTTCCGTTCGAACGGATTAAAAAAGAAATCTCGTTAATCGGAAGCACGGGCACGCTTACACGCGTCGCGGTTCACCAGGCGCACACGGGTTCGGTTCCCGCGCACGGATGAAATTAATACGTGGTCGGCGCCGTAATTAGCGCTTGTATTTATGCGTCTCTTGCGAGGCGGGCTCCGTTAACATGGTAATGGCGTTACACCGCTGTAAACACGACATGTTATCTCGACGAGATTCGCGCAAGAAATGGCGACCGCGAATGGTTTTGGCTTCGCCGGAAGCACGCCTCCTCCGTGCAATTCTATCTGCTTTCATTTTCAAAGGAACGAAGAAATGCTTTACTCAGTCTTTTGGGGAGTTTAATGAACATTCTCTATATCATTGAGTTTCTCTTTGTCTTTTATTTTGTGTGATTACCGTGAGAATTAAGAACAGGCAGAGTATTATCGAGATTCTCGCTTCGCTGTTCCTTTATTTATTTCGTTTTATTTCTCATATATACATATAGTTTCTACTTTCCGGTGCGAGTTGAAATATTTCTTCTTCTTCGATAATTTTGTTGCTTAAATCCGTAAAAAAAAAATGGAATGATATCGTTGGTTAATTGGATAACAGTAAAAATTTACGCACGTCAGTCTTCGAGTCAAGAGTATTAAGTAACCGTTGTGAAGTTAATTATCGTGTTTCCGATTGTACATTTTCTACACCAAGCTCTTTGCTCTTCCAATTATTTCTGCCAGAAAGTTTCTGTTTCTCGCGATCTTCTCGATACAGGCTTCATACTCAATAGGAAATACGGAAAGGAAACAGAGCGGCGTAACGTGTCAGTTAAAACCATCAGAATCGATAAATATTACCTATCGTTTTACGAAAATAGAAGATACATATATCTAAAGTATTCGTAATCCATTCAACGCATATAATTAAGCAGTGTGTAAGCCAAGTGTTCAGTTAAATCACGAAATATCACGTTCCATATTTATAATTACAGTAGAGGCTATCGAATCGACCCAAGAAATCACGTTTCTTTCCACGTACCAGCGCAAACACCAAATCACACTACAAAATTAACCTCGAACGAAAGAGAGAATTTGAAAGAATCTCTCGAACGATAATAAACGGGAAAGCGGAGGGAAGGTGGCAGAGGTCCCGGTGGTCCCGGGTTTGCCGGGAGAGATCGTGAGAATCCGCGGTGGCCCAGGAAATTTTCAACGGCGTCGGCACTTGTAAGACACGCACGAAAATGTTGGGTCGCGACATCGAACACGGAACAGACGGCTCGAGGGACCGGCGTGAACGGTTTGCATCGAGAGATTAAAGAACATCGAATGGACGTGGGCGATTTGTCGAGCTCGGCAGGATTGGCTGGGAGCGGATCCATCCCTGTAGCAACGGGTGTTGGTGTCATTACAAGTACGACATCCGCCACCGCGGGGTGGTGGACGCCTACGTCGACGATCGCCACGGCAGCGGCCAACACCGACGTGGTGAGTTTTATCTTTTTCACTTTTTCCTTTCCGAATCTCTCTTTCTTCGACTCGCGTCTTCTTCTCGTTTTCTGTATGTAAATTAGTCGGGAAAATGATATGATATGAAATGCTATGATACAATGGATAAGAGTATTGGTATAGAACAGTTTTGTTTCTAAATGCTTCCGTAATTTACTAGGTATATAATTTTTTACAAAATGTAACTTCAAAGTCTAGAGACATTAAAATTAAATGACAAAACATACCTGATACATTACCTTTATTGTAAATTGGTACGGGAATTGATTCTGCTTCTGTTTCGTTCTGCCGATGTGAAGCAAACAGGGCAATGATTCTGTAGAACCGATATGAGAACCAGTTATAATGGAAGCAATGATCGGAACAGACAGCGTATTGGAGATTGCAGTTCATTTGTATCAATTAAAATTGTTATTTTCTATCATCGGAACGATTCGTAAAATTTTGCAGCATACGTAATTGCACGAATGATTTAATATAGCAGCTATTTCGAATTCCTCGATCGTGGTGCGTGAGTGAAAATGATCGGAGATAGTGAATCTTCAATAAGATACAAACATGGAGTTACAAAAGATGATCGGAGCTCAACTATGAAGACAAGCAATATCTATTAAAAGATCAATTTCAGTTTCTTACGTTTACTACGTTTTGCTAAAGGCAGTAAGTATATTACTGACTCTTTTAGTAGAGTATTATATTTTACTGCCTTTACGCAATGAATGAAGATGTAAAATGTTCGCAACTATTCAAAGACACAAAGGAACTCGTCTTACACTTTTTTACAATTACCGTCTTTCCACAGTTCGACATGCCCATTTTATCTCTAATAGTTTGATTTACAGTCACATAACGTCATTCAATTATAAAGGGAAAACCTATCCAACATTTCAAAACCTCGGTGCATCCATACTTTCTTACAACGGCGTCTTTATTCTCCTTACGGCTTTTCTACGATTCTGCTACATAAAATAATCTCGATTTCCTTAGAACTTTCTCATTCCGCTGTACTCTTATTTTACAATTTTCCTGCATAGAGGACATAAATCGTCTCTCATATAAGTATTTGCGATAGTATTTTATAAATCTGGAGGGATTACATTTTTCCGAAAAGTCGTAAATATTCGCGCAAATTAACGTCGTTTATCGGACGATTATAATTTTTATTCTCACAACTAAGGAAAAACGAAGTTTACTTTTTTGGGTATATCTAATTAACTTTGACCAAGTAATAAAATTTATATCTTGTATCGCATTTGTATTCTCTTTTTGAATCGTCGCTAATGCCTGCATAAGAAAGCAATGCAGCTTGATTGCAACGAAATAAAATAATACCCTCGCAATTTTCTCATTCCATCGACATTCCTACTTCGCAATAAAATTCTCCAACGTAAAATGATCTTAATTTTCGTACAGTTCTCTGGTCTCAAAGATCATCTACGTCATCTCCGTCATCCACGTCATCTTCAACCCTTCCAGCAACAATTACCCAATAAAAATCCCGGGCAATTACGCTTCATGGCCTCCCAATCCCAGTGCTTGACTTCAGGATAAAAAGGCTGAGGAGGATAAAGGCACCGTTGTTCCGACAGGCCTACATTTCCCAGCAGCGCCTTTTGCTGCTGTGGGCCTTTTGAAAAAAAGTGGCGTGAAGCGTGCGTGCGCGCCACGGCGTAAAGGCGAATCATCAGCCGTGTAACGCGGGGAAAAATATCCCCGGTTAGCACGCTACTTTCATTTCTTCCTCGAGTGTCATTCGTCATCGGCATTACCTTCGCGCCGTTACTTAATGAGACGTCCCCGTGCAGGATGCGGGTGTGCGATTAAGCGGTCGAACCAAGAGAGGTCGAAATATCATGGCGGTCGAGAGACATCTGGTAGAATGCGTTAGCCTATGGTTACAACGGTGGATATGTGTTTCGACGAACACCAGTGCGCGCTGAATCACCTAAGATCCAGCACCGTAATTTAATCTTGAATTTTGTACAGAAGAAACGAATTTGTTGTTGGTCTATTGATCGCTAATTCTTGATATAATAACGAAAGGATTGAGAAAGTATCGTGTATAACGTATGACAGAACGAATGACTTTTAGGAAGACACATATAGAGCATGTCAAAAAGTTGGTGCCAAACTCGAGCAACGCGTAGTGCTGATTAAGACGAGCAAAGGAAGTTTCGATAAACATGGGTCTAGATAACTCTAGTTTCAGAGTTGCAATTCTCTCTCTTGCAATTCGAATCCAGTTTTTTGGTTCTGGTAAAACTCAAGTGCTACTTTCTGTAACATAGTTGTAATTACATTTTAAAGTTCGAAAGCATCGAGAACAACGAAAAGAGCGAACGTACTGTACATTAACATCCCCTCGTTTAACTATTCCAGTTATCAGAATATATCATATCTATGGGCCATGGGCTCTGCAAGACGTCCCATAACAGGGTAATTCTACTTGAAAAAACTACGTATAGTAACTGGAATAGTTAAGCGCCGTGGCATGAACAACGGAAAGGATGGCGAAGATGGGGGGACTAGTGGCAGCGCGAGAGTCCATCGAGGGGACACGAAGAACATTATTTAGTTCCGTTGGAGTGTACCGCGCGAGTGCAGGGATTAGAAGCAAGGTGACACAGCCGCGTCATCTGTTGGATGTTTAACCTTTTTTACCTGGGCTCGGGCTATGCGCTTTAGCCGGCCGTTCCCACAAGAAGCCATCAGCCGCCGACTCACCCAGATACGCGGACTTGGTGAAACGGGAAATCATTTTTGATACGCGCCACGGTACGAACGATCATCCTTTGGCGCGACGGAAGATCGTCTGAGGAGAATTTCGTTGATTCGATGGGTTTCTTTCTTCGGGTTTATAACTGACTGTATATAAGATGGCATAGGTTGCATGATATATATCGGTATTGTGCTAGTTGTATTCCCCGTATCAGGGTATAATTATGAGTAACAGAGCCATTATATCGTATCGTTTTATGGATGCAGAAGATAATTTAATGGATGATGATTAGCATTGTTATATAATTGTCTTAAGTATGACGAAGATGATCTCTATTTAATGAGAATTTTAATTTGACAAATAAAAAAAAAAGATACAAAGTATCACTGCCAGAGTAAGTCTGACACTTGCGATCAGGGGATGATAGTGACCTTATATGTTTGGTCAAAGATCGTTGAATTAATAAGACGTCATTAAAAATTCTTTGCTGAAAGATAGTGGAAAAACAGATCCAACAATTCCTAAAAGACGGCATAACATTATCGTGTCAGTTGTGTTTCCCTTCATTAACCAAACACTGATCGTTTTTACAGTCCAAGTATCTTCCCATCAAACCTACCATATGACACTTCGACAACCATTTGTGATTTTCCATGCAAAGACGATCGACGCTATTATCTTAGCCTTTAAAGCTCTCCGGCTCTTGGTTTGCTCTTTCACGAAGAAAACGCGAGGATCGTAAACAACACGTCAGTTTCTCTCATCGTCGAATCCTCTAATTACTTTTTTTAATCCTTGTTCGCTGTCGATCATCTCGTCCAGCTCGTCAAGACACCTTTTCACGCGTAACCGATTACCACATTACATTCCACGCTCGAACTATCACGGACACGCAGTGTCTAAGCAAAAGATGGATCAAATTCTTTCGAGTAGAACGTCAAACGAGGCTTCTCCTCCGAATCGTCTCGATCTCACGCGAGATACCACCGTGTAACGGATACGTGTACCAGCGTATCGATTAAAACGCGAAGAAAAATCGAATTCTAAAAATATTTCGAAACATTCATCGTGAACCTTTGATCCCCGCCATTCCGAGAGATTCTCGATTCTCTTGAAAGTACGCATGCGAGCTGATGTAATGTTATTTCGATGTACGCTCCCTTTACACGGACGCTTGCCTTTTCCTTACGAAATCGCAAACTGGTATCGATACACCCTTCGTTGCGATACGGGAATCGGGTCTAGCACGATTCTTCCGTGCGTTCTCTTCCACGTACGATTTTATTTTTGTTACTGCTTCTTTACGCTAGACGATCTTCGTATATTATCTTTTTCGTGACTTTATTAAAGGCACTTTTCACATATCCATTACGTACGCCGACATTGTAATATCAACATAAATCAAAAAACTCTCGATGAAATTGATCGATGTATCTCGTGTAAGGATTTATAAAGTGGAAGTAAATTCTGTACGCAGATGTTTCAAATATTTTCAATAAAAATTCGATCACCGATGAACATCTCAATTCGCAATCACAAAGATGAAATTCAAATTCGATACACCCTCCTATTGAAGCGTTATACGAAACAACATGGTTATTTACGAATCGTATGCACGTTCTCCCGTCCACGTACGATTTTACCTTTCCCGTGTCGGTCATCCTTTCTCGTTGGATCGTCGCGACCGAACCTCTGCGTTCTACACGATGCAGTCCGTAATGACTGGCTAACTAGGTTTTAATAGGAACATGGTCTCGCAACCGAATCCCCGGTTCTTCTTGCAACCTCCGGGGAGAAGGCAAGAAAAGGTCCCCTTTTTATCGTGACTACGTCTCTTTTCGAACATGCACACACACATACACACACGCACACATCTCTTTCTCCATCTCTGTACATATTTCAACGATTCTCAACTCTTATGAACAAGTTGCTTGGTGATTGGCGGCCAATCAAATAACGTTACGATCGATTCGAACGGAATCGCCATGCCGCGAATCGATCCCATCATTCACGTATCCTTTTCTCGGTCGTGCGATAAATCAAGCGCGAATCATCCAAGACTTTTCTCAAAGATACACGGCATTCGGTACACGCGTTTCAATCTTAAATCGGTGTACGGTGTAGTCGAAGGTTTAGTGGAAACAGTTGGACGTGAAAACGTCACGGGATACTCGAATGTCCTATCGACTAGGAGCTGGTCGAACATCGAAATGATCGAAATGATAAATCCCAACGTCGCTAAACGGTGTCCCGCGATCGTCACTGAAATAAATAGCGTTAGCAGCAGGAGCACCGTCGATGGATATCGCCGATGCTTTCTTATCTGGTATCGTTTGCCTGCGTCCAAGAAATTACTATTCTTTTATCGTTCATTTTTCTTTGCTTTTTTTCTTGTCTTCATCGTTCGTTTCTTTCTCTTCGTCTACATCGTGGCGGAGATCGTCGCGAGACGAGCAAGAAACGCTTCCATGATTGGCACATATTGCGCGTGCTTGCAGCATGATCACCGCTGCATTCTAAGCGTCTTCGGTTTCTTAGCCGAAGCGTAACCACATGTCGCATCTTTTTGTTGCAGATGAATCAGCTCTGCAGGGTCTGCGGAGAGCCGGCCGCGGGTTTTCACTTCGGGGCCTTCACGTGCGAAGGTTGCAAGGTCAGTATCCACGAACCCCTTTGCTCTCTTTAGATCATCAGACCGACGGAAAAATTTCAATGGCCGTTTATATTCTCGCATCTTTCGCTCCTACTCTTCGTCTTTCTCCTACCCATTTTTTCTTTATCTCTTTTCTTCCTCAAGGTACGTGTGTGTGTGTGTGTGTGTGCGCGCATATATATATATACATATACATATACATATATATATATATGTATATATTTCGAACACACATTCGAATGCAAATAAAATTGTAGCCTTAAGCGTGCAGACGCGTGCATCATCCTCACGTTACAATTACCGGGCACTGTACCGACCGTGTTGACCCACGGGTCTCCGGTTTCATGTTTCTCGTGGAAAGTTCGAATTCGTGTTTTCGTAACCAAATTGATCGATTGTGTATAAAACGTGTAATTTCTTTGCGGTGATTTCTTTACACGTATTGGTCGTTGCTGGAACGAATGCAGATCTGTTTGGGTTGTAATAGAGCCATCTTTTATCGACATAATCTTAAAAATAGAGCACGCGTTTTTCTCTTGTCGATCAAAATAATTCTATCTACGAATCTCGTTAGTTGTATTTTCAGTTACGAACAGCATTGTTTTATTTTGTTACGTCACTTGGATAGAAAGTTACTCTTAGACACGATGTAAACGAGCGATTTTTTCTCGTGCGTTATTATCGAACAGCAAATAATGTATAAAATCGTCAGACGTGTTACGATCATGTATGCACATATGTACAGTGGCTCGAAAGTCTTAGACATCTTCTACTTTCAACTTGATCTAAAATTTTACTATTTGCTATAGATTGTGAACTTTAAATTGCGCGAGTGCCGTAACAAAATCATTGATGTAGTAATAGCCTGTACTTCCGTTAGTAGAGATAACCATCAAATTCTTAGTGTCTTCATTGCGTATGTAATTTTTTCGATTTTGTAGCTAGTACAATAACTGTTTAAAAACTTTCGAGCAGAGAGGTTTTATACAAATACACTGGACCGCAAGCTCGTCTATTTCCCCGTATAAACCAGCAGATTGCTAAAACGCACGCGATCACGCTCGTCTGTATCGTGTCTTAATATAATCGATAATTTTCCTTCCCTTTAATTTTTGCAAGGGCTTCCATCGACTTTAATTGAAATTATTAACTCCATTCATTTAACAAGCCCGCGTCGAACGTTTCTCTTCTCCACAGTCGTTCTTCGGGCGCACCTACAACAACCTGGGCAGCATCTCCGAATGCAAGAACGGTGGCGTGTGCGTGATCAACAAGAAGAATCGCACTGCGTGTAAAGCTTGCCGGTTGAGGAAGTGTCTGATGGTGGGTATGTCGAAGTCGGGTTCCCGCTACGGACGCCGCTCCAACTGGTTCAAAATCCACTGCCTCCTCCAGGAACAGTCGCACCAGGCTCAAACGCGCCTCATCAAAGACCCAAAGTCCGCGTACGAGAAGGCGTTCGGCTCGTTGGACGTGGCGAACAATAACAACAACAATAACGAGAATCCTGGTACAACGAGTGCCACTAGCGTCGTGGGTATCGTCACGACGACAACCACCACCGCGAATAGTTACCATCACCACCATCATCAGCACCATCAGGACAGGTTTCCAAAAAGAGACGACCTGAGGCCACAGGATATTCCTGCTCAATTAAGGGCACCGGATATTCCAGCAAGAGCCAGCCAGGATCCTCTATTGAGGCCGATGGACCTGGTCAGGGCACCTCACGAATTACTCAGGCCGGAAGTGTCCAGGTTTCCCATGTGGAGAGGACCGCCGTTCTTTCATCCAGCTCTTACACACATGCAGCTATTAAACACGCCATTTTTCCCGTTCCAACAACGATTCATAGTCCCCTATGTGAACCAGGTTGGCACACCACAAATGGTAGCTAGCCTAACGAGTTCTTCGAGCGATAGCGTGAGTCCTAGGTCGACACCGTCGCCTAAAAGGGACGATGACAATCGAAGTGCCCGTGACGAGTGCAGAGAAGTGGACGGAGGTTGTCAAAGGAGTCAAATAGAAGCATACGATAAGAGTCTAGCGTTTCTGCGTTCTTTGGGTCCAGAGCAGGAAGAACCGATCGACTTGAGTATGAAGGCTGGCAAGATGGACGGGCAAGAGGTGGATGCGACTGGTGGTAGCACGGAAGAGGAAAGGTCGACGGACAGCGAGGACAACGAGCTGCTACAGGACACGGGGCCGCCCCTCGATCTCACTAGAAAGACGTGACCCTGCTCGGCCAGCTCGCGGACAGCTTTCGATAGGAACTGGACTGGTTGGTGTTGAATCGTCGCTCGAAGGCGTTGCTCGGAGAGCTGCCAGCCTCTTTCGCGCACAGAGACTCATATTGTTGTCCTTTCGCGGGGATGAGGAGATGACTTACGCGACGTTTGCTGGAGATCTTGGGGAGAGTAAAGATCTTGCGGAGAACGTGGAAGGAAAACGCTTTTCGTCGAATAAGGACAAGACGAAACGAAGATGGAGAAGGCGTTGAAGGACTGGTAAAAAATTAGAGAATCGAATGAAATAATGCGAAAATATTGGCACGGATATAAAGGAGAGATATCTGGTATGAGAAATCTACAAGATGGAAAGGGTGAAATAACGGATGGACAGCGACAGTAGGAGAAGTACGGAAGAGCGGACGTCACCAGCCTTACATTGCACGAATGACTTTACGATCAGCGATCGGGTCGACGTAAAATTGCTCAAGCCCTCGGTATTAGCCGACAGACATACACGGTCCCTTTGGTCGGCTACAGCTTCGCCAGGTGTTCGTTGACGAAGTAGCCGAAGATCGGCTCGATACATCCTTACAACGAGACAGACGATTGTGCCTTAACCGGTGCCTTTCAGCTCTCATACATGTTCGAGTGCACGAGATGGAGAATATATATATGTATGTGCGTGTGCGTGTGTGTGTGTGTGTTTGTAAGTGAGAGAGAGAGAGAGAGAGAGAGAGTGCCAGTAAAAACCACGTGATAGTTTAACGTTAAATAATAACCGCGCTAACGTACGCGTGTAACGAGTTCGTACGCAGGTACGGACACATGTATGTATTATATATTATGTCTGTGCGTGTGATGCGTTCGATATTTTTGTTCTTTCGTGTAAACGCGTCTGGAGAACCGCGAAGTAAGCGAGAGTGTTCGAGAGACGCACGAAAGCCCCGTTTCTATCTCTCGACGCTCGGGAATGGCCAGTGTTTCGTTAAGCCGCATCGAGATTTCTTTTATTTATGTCGAGCCTTATTTAACGCGATTTTAATTACTCGTTAATCTGTCAGTCTCACGAATACGTCGGTGTGCACGTCTTTTCTCCTGGAATGTCAAACACAACGGTCTTTGTTTTAATTTTCACGTTAGAAGATCGTAACTCGTTATGGAGACTACAATGTGAATTGCAGATGTAGATGAAAAATAAAAAGTCACGAAGCTAGAGGAAGGAATGGGTGATGAGGATTAGACGATAGGCGTACAAACACTCGGTAGTGTTCGACGAAAAAATACGAAGTAAAATAAAGAATATTGTATAACCAATACGTAGCGCCTTGATCGTCGTTCATTAAATATCTCCTCGTTTCCCTTACGCGACCGTTCGTAATCGCGTACTTATATATATCTCGAACTCGAGATGGTATTCGATTACTTTCGTCTCGCGCGTCTCCTGCATTCCGTACCGTCGCGTCGCCACGAAAACGCGCACGGATGGATTTGCTTGGAGCGTACGCGCGCCCAGTCGCTGCGCACTTTATCGCACCGAGTTATTTATTTAGTAATAAATTTGTACGCGCGCTGATGTACTACGAGAAACATGTTTTCTCGGATAATTCCGTTCTAACGCGCGAAACGCCTCGCGAGGACAGCTTCTCCAGCGATTCCCCTCGTCTGAGGACGTCGCGCGGATGGAAGATGATAAACGCACATTAAAAACGCTTGGTAATAAACACACTTGGTATATATCGATCGTAAGGCGGACTGTGCGATCTAACGTTTGACTTAACCGTGACATGAAAACACGTAGAGAAAAAATAAAAGTGAAGGAAAGATAAAACGGATTTAAGAAGATTTCTTCGACACGGTTTCGCGAGTCCTGTGACGAATAGGTGACTTAAGATGATGTCATTGCACGGATCGTTTATCGCTAATTACGTTGGTCTGGAATCGAAGAAATTTCACGGTATAATATATCATAAACTGCGATAATTTACGGAGAAACGGGGAACTGGAACAGGTATGATTTCCATTCGCGTAAATCTCGTATCATGTTTCTAATGGGATGCCTCGGCGATTCTGTTTAACATAAATTTTTATTTAATTTTGCCGTAGGTACTTCTTTAATTGGTCGATTAAAGACTCGTATGTAAGCAAGATCTATCGACGACAGAATTATCGTTACTACTATTGGGTTGGTCGAAAAAATTCGAAGCAAAGAGAAAAATTCGAAGGCAATGTACTTTTCGGCGAATTTTTATCATCCGTTGCTTTATCATTCACATATTTAGTTCCATGACTGTTATTTAGGAAACCTTCGTTTTATTCAGTTACGAGTTCATTCAAGTATCTGCAAGTTCCTTTTTAATTTTATGGCGTTAAAGTACACTTTTTACTGAATGCAATGAAGTAGAATGTTCCAGCAAAGGTTTGGCAATTTTCAACGCTTTGTTACTTTTTCTAATATTTAATAAATTAAACAAATCCCTGTTTAGGTTCCATTTTGTTAGTTGCATTCGCTAAATGTAAATTTGTATAAATATCCACGGAATAATGGACTTGCACGAAACTTAATACTATGTAGTTGTCAGAAACCCTACGAACTTTCCCAAAAATCTTAATACGTATCTCTTTTCTTCTTACCCTGAACTCGAACGTCAATAATAACTAATCCCAGCGAGGAGAAAAACGATGTTAAACGAACCAGTAAGCTTTCCTTTCGACTAAGCCATCCAATTCGACGAATAGCTGGAGATTTGAACGAGTGGATCGGGAGACTTCAACAGGCGCATAAGCGAGACGGTTTCCGCATGTGACAGCTTTCCTCGGTTTGTTCGACGGCGAGAATTCACGGGGGCCGACATAATCGACAGGCCACGACGGTGTTCACCTGCGTGCACCTGCGTGTATTCACGAGCACTCGTACCCGTAACCCCGGACTTTCGAATGCCTTGGGATCTTCTGTTGTTGACTTAGGTGGGACGGAGAGAGGTGAGGCCACTCGATGTCTGTCGAACCAGCTCTAGTGGTTTCTGGCCCGACGATTCAGGTTCCCGGAGCTTCTGGCCCCCACGTGTGCGGCGAAAAAAGCGCTACCAACGCACGATGACGTGTGGGTACGCGCGAGAACGCTTCGACTATTCTTGGATTACGTAAATTTGTCAAGCGGAGGTTCCCTCTTTCTTTCTTTTTCTCTTCTTTTTTTGCAAGATGCTTTTAGACGGAACGGATTGTGTAATCGTCGAAGAGATGGTATTGCTGTTTGGTAAGATTTTATGGTTTTACACCACCTTTGCGGCATGGTGGCACTTGTTGAACTTCTTAGTTCTTTATATTGTAGTTTTACGCAGTGAAAGTTTTGTTGGAAAAATTTCGAAAGATATTTACTATCTAACATCATAATAGATTAATTTTCTAAACGCAATAACAATCCGCGAAATCATTCGATTAGATGTTATTTTCAAATAACTATAGATTAATTTACTTGAATAAGTAAATGACTTTTATCAATGAATTACTGACAGAGAATTACTGACATGAATTTGACAGAGTTAACCACAATAAAAAATTATCTGATTTGATCTTAAAACGAAGTTATTCTTCCTACGTTATTTAGAAGGTAAAAATAACGAAGTAGCATTCAAATAAATTCATTTTCATTTCAAATAAAATTTGTAAAAAACTTCAACTAAATACTCGAAATGCAGCACTCTCTTTGTTAGTATAGTTAAAGGTAGTGGTAATCTTTATTCGATTTTACTGATGTAATTTAAAAAAGATGCAAGAGGTAATCGACGCTGACGATGGATTAAGCGTACTTTGATTTCCATCGTGAAATAATTTACAGGGAATAGAAATTCTACTCTCTCCTTTATGAAATCTGTTTTCATTTGTTATACCCGGCTCAAACGTGTCTCGTTCGCGATATTCCTTCTATATTACGTTAATTTGCGCGCTGGATGCAGATCCTACGAGGCCATACGACACCTGTGACGCCGTACATCGCGCCCACGTAAATTATCCCGGGAAGATTTACGACGCGTCTCGAGCCGCGCGTATACTCCCGTGTCTCGAAATCCTCGGACGAGTATTCGTCTGTTATTAGTGTCGAAATTAGAAAAAAGAAAAAATCGCCCTGGCTAGATCTCGATAAAATCATCCTCGAAAACAGAAATCTCTCTTGCTCTACACACCCGTACCATATCGATCGTTTATCAATCATTTTGTCCCTTTCTCTCTTTCACATTTACAGTCATGATAGCATCTCGCGTTACGTATCCCACCACTCTAAAATATCTAGACACTTGCCTAATTTATAGGAAATTGTAAATAGCGTTTGTTTGCGTCGACAAAATTCTCGGAATGTTCCTACAAATCGATCAAAATGTTCAGACATATATTCTTACTCATTCACTCTCATATCGACACGTATTTTCCGACGTGTTGTGTAAATTTCGACAAACAGAATCACCATAAATAACAAAGTTCTTGTTTGAATGTAGAAAAGACGAAAGTATACCATAAGAATCGAACATTCAAATTATCCATTCAATTTCGATTTGTATTTAGCTGCGTATTATCAATTTCACGTGTCGTCTAATTATTCACAACTTCCTCACCTTCGACTGGTCATTATCGCGCTTCTGTTAAAGAAATAAACTGCAATTTTTCACGATCCGTGTTGGAATATCAAAGAGAATGTTGCGTCACAGTGGCAGCGTATTCTTGGAAATAACACAAAGCAGCTCTGATAAATCATCGTGAACAATTTTTATCGCTTTATGTCGAAACACTCGAGATATATGATTCTCGATTCCGATTCACGGCTTGACTGCGTTTTTTCTTATTGGACCCGCAGCGGTACATGACAAGATGCGTGAAGTTTGAGCGGCATATGGGCGAGCTGTAATTGTGTCGAGGAACTCGCAGCTGTATGCCTGCAACCCTTACTTATTGTTCTTTATTCGAGATCCTTTCAGATCGCTTATACCGTATCATAGGATACAGGCAACGTTGTCTGTTCAGTCAAGACGATACTTCCTTTAATACTCGTCATTTAAACTTTGGATATTACTTGCTAAATACCACGTAAGTACTTTAACTTACTTCATCAAAATGTTTTATCGCGTAAGTGTTTCAACTTAGTTACATTTTAATCCGTTCTATCGTTTGAGATACTTCATATATGTATTTATTCAACGTTATCCATTTCACGTTCTTTTTAAAACTGCAGAGAATTTGATACTTTTGCTGTTCCCTTCCATCTCTTCTCTATCATGTGCAATATCATCGTCGATCATAATAAAAGTTTTTCAAAATACGTCGAAGCATTCGGTTCCCAAATCTAAAAATTTCCATCTTACGTGCTTTGCAAAGACACAGACTCTTGCATGGCTAAATTACAACAGTTTCCAAAGATCTGGACAAACTCTCGATGCAAACGACGACGATGAGGAAGAAGCGGATCACGGCTGGCGAGGTAGCACACGCAGCGAGGTCGGCAGATGCGCGGCACGGGTGTAAGAGGGGCCATTACACGCGAATGCGTGAGGTAAAGAGGTTTACTACACCTGTGGCCTGTGGGCTTGGCCGGTGAGGTCGTTAGCGTGCGCGACGAAGAGGGCGATATAGAAAATCTCGCGTGGAAAGCTTTGGAACGGAGAAGGACAGCGGGTATCTGAAGAAGGCAGGGGAACATAAGGTTGACAATCCGGGGTCATGGCACGCTGGTCGTGCGATTGGTCGTCGGGAAATTCATAATATGTTTTTCACAGACGCGACGGACACAGACGCGAACGGAGGCTCCTTTCGAACTCCGTTCGGTCGAGGCTTGAAGCGGTTCGCCTGGACGTTTACGAGCGTTTGACCCTAAGTGTATGGCTGAGAGTAGGGGAGGCGGAAGACACGGAGAAAGGGAGAAGTCGCTCTCTTGCGGTCTCGCTAATTGGCTGCGTTGCACACGCATCGTCGTAAGAGGATACTCGAGTGGACGTGAACCCAATATCGCCGACGCGACATAACAAAAGGGTGTGCGCCAAATAAGATGGTGGTAAGCTTGTCACGGATACTCTACTCTGACTGGTCATTGATAGCAATATCGATAATATATGTAATCGTGTACTTGTGGTTTTGGAGATGTTGGAGTGTGGAGTTATTGAGATCGATACGCGTCTTATTGTAATTTAGTAAGATTTCACGTACAGTTTTATCTCAAAATAAGCAACTGGTTTCTGGTTCGGAGTAAGCTACTCGTTATCTCCTTTTCTTTAGTCGAAGTTACCGACAGAATGAGAGATTGGAGAATGAATTTCGTGGAAAATTGTATT